TAGAAAGACCCTATCTGTTTGCAAGTACTAGCAAGGCAGGCAATGTGAGTAGAGCCTAGCAGGCCAGAAGTGCCATAGAGAGGTCCACTGTGGGAGGGAGACAGGGAACAGATGCTATAAAGCTGCTTAACAATCCTGGCCACATACCCAGGGATTCTCACTCTCCCACAAGTTTCAGGCACTAGTCTTGTTATTATTTATGTGTTTCTAATTCCTCTGAATGATCTTAACATGCAGCCATCTCCAGCAGTGACCCTGGTTGGATAAAGAGGCCTGCTGGCTTTTGTTGAACAGGAGGTGGGAGGTCACTCTTGTGTAAGCAAAGCATAACCTGGATGGATCTACGGTGACCACTGGAACTCTGTCCAGCAGAGCTAGAAGCTAAAGGACCCATGGTGGGGCCACCATGGTCACTCAACAGCACAAGTAGGATTTGTCTCAATGTAATCTATTTCAACAGATTTATTTCAGTAGCTTTCTTTCTAAAGGTTTCCAGTTAAAACCAATGCTACTTACTTCACAAACTGCATAAAACAACAGTGCAAACCACTGCTCTTCCAACTACCATCCACAACATGAATTAAATAGATTTCAGCTAGTCTCTTTCTCTCTCTCTCTCTCTCTCTCTCTCTCTCTCTCTCTCTCTCTCTCTCTCTCTCTCTCTCTCTCTCTCTCTCTCTCCCTCTCTCTGTCTCTCTCTCCATTGAAATATCACAGTGGGCTACAGAAAGTAAAGGTTAAGTACTGTTTTCTGCCTTTTGTTGCATATGTCTCCTAGATTGCAACATGATGTATGCTTCTTACTACAAAGGTCACAGACTTGTGGGAAACACTGCTCTAGCAGACAGATGATGATGGCTCACAACAGCATGAGGCTATCCAGTACACAGGGATGCAAATGGATCAGTAATACCATCAAGGGTGAGAAAACGGGCCTCAGATGGCCAAAAATGCAATGGATGATGGATGAAGAGGAATCAGACACTACAAGGTTCAGAGCAAAGGTCAGATAGGAAAGATGAGAGGAAGCAGACGAGAGCACAGGGAGATTACCAATCTGAGACAGGGTATCACTGTAAGATACCTCTGACATCTCACTGTTCCTGGGGAGTTGTCACTAGGGTTTGTCTCCTAAGAGCACAAATGGTGACAGAAGAAACCAATGTGATACAGCCATCTGCATATTTAACCTCTGGGACTAAGAAAGGCTAGGTCTAGAGTGTGTGTGAATGGGGAAGGGAGGAAAGCCAGAATGAAGCCTTGGGCCAGAAAAAGGTAGGCAGGGAGTGGGGATGGGTGTCTAGAAAATGGTATCTGCAGAGCCCTGTGGATGAAAGGACTTCCTTCATTGAATATAGCTTGAAAATCCAATATAAGGTTGAGGAGGTGACTCAGCAGAAGAGCCTAGAATGCACAAGGCTCTGGGTATCGTCTTAAATACGACAAAAAGGAAAAAAATCACTTTAACCTTAAAATACGCAAATATGCATACGCTCCAAGTGTCCCCATAAGTTTATGTGCTGAATGTTGGCTTGCCAACTACTGCTGTTACTTTGGGAGGTTGCAGAAACTTTGGAGGGGCACTCTAGCTGCCAGAAGTAGGCTATTAGAGACAGAGCCTGGAGATTATACTTGGCCCTGTCTCCTTTTGAGCTTCTGCTCCCTGGACCACTACCTTGAGTTCCTACTGCATACTCTCACAGTCACGAACTGTCTTCTCCACCCCACTCCTGTCTTCTCCACCACAGTACACTGAAACCTTCTAAAACCGTGAGCTAAAGTCATCTTCCTGTCCTTGAATTGTTCTCTGTCCGGCATTTTAGTCACAGTGATGAAGCATGTATCTATTCCATGTCTGACAGAAAATAACATTCTTTTATCCTTAAATAACTCAGCGCCCGAGGATAGGGGTGGAGATGCTCAAGGAGACAGTCAAGCATCAAGTATCCACCAAAACGGCGTTATCTTTAAGGTGTGCGTGTGTGTGTGCGTGTGTATGGAAGTGCATACAGGTTCACATATGGAAGTCAGAGGACAACCTCAGATGTTGGTCTTCACCTTCTACCCTGCATTAGGCTCTCTTTTCGGTTGTTTACCATTGGGAATTCCTAGCTGGCACAGACTTCTGGGGGTTTCCCTGCCTCCATCTCATGCATGATACCAAACCTTGCTTTATTTGGGTTCTGAGGATCCAAACTCATATCCCGACACTTCTATGGCAAGCACTATACCCACTGAACCATCTCCCAAATCCTCCGTTTTGTGATCTCTGCCTGCCAATTTCTTGCCAGGGAGGTGGGGAGCCATACAACTTTACCACAGCAGTCTTGGCAGCAGAGATCTGCTTAAGGATAACCTCCCTACACAGCTTCTATTTTGGATTCCAGCAGGCTATTTAACAAAACTCAGATGAAAGGTATTAAAAAAAAAACTTTGCAGTTAGAAGCTGTCTTCAAGAAGATTCTAGGCAGTGTGATTTACAGCCTTCAGTGACAACCATTAGCTGCTAAGATACCAATTAGGGATGCCTTTTTAGCAAGTCCTACCCAAATGGTGAAACTTCTTCTTCAATACCCTGCACATTTTTCTCCCCATTCTCACTTCACTCTGGTGGCAGCAAAGCTTCCAGATGGCAGCTGAAGTCACAAATTCCAGCCACCACAGGAGACAGTTCTATAAATGAATTGAAAGGGGTAGAATACAATATTTTTTTTCTTAAATGGACAATCAGGATGCAGGGCCAATATGCCCAGGCCCTCTAAGCCAGGGTGAGAAACAAGAGCTCAGAGCAGTGATACCCCTGGTGACATCTTAAAAGGTGGAAATGTACACTCTTTGACTCCAGTGCAAGTCAGACAGAAAAGAGGCTGTCCAGGTTGAATTTTGATGACATCATCAGGCATTTTACATAGAACTTGCAAAGTACTGACTTAAAGCAAAGCCAACTGGACATCTTGATCTCCAGAGAAAGGATTTTAAAAATGATTTCCAAGTCCAGTTCACAACTGCAGACACAGAACACAGGAAACAATGTCTCAATTTCCAAGGCAATTCCCAGCGCCCTGAAAACTCTGATAGCTCCAATCAGCAGTAAACAAGGGTCAGGAAAAAACACAGTAAAGTAACAAAACAGATGGAGGCTTAAAAGAGACTGTGGCAGGCTGGGACCATAATTCAATCAGCAAATACCTGTTGTATAAACATGGGGAGAGGACCTGAGTTTGAATCCCAGAACCCTTGTGAAAAGTCATATGGTTACCATGTGCTTATAATCCCAACACTGAGGAAGAAGAAAGAGGCAGATCCCTAGAACCTGCTGGTCAGCCAATCTAGGAATCCAATGGGTAGGATCCAGGCTAAGTAACAGATCCTCTCTTGAAACGAAAAATTTTAACACCCATGGATGGCTCCTGAGGACTGACACCAGAGCATTATCCATGTGTCTATACAACTGTATACTCACACATAGGTACACACATGTGTGCGTGTGCAGCACACAACACAAATATGCACACGCGTGAACACACACACACACACTCACACACAAAGAGAACCTGGTCTAAAGAAAGGTGATCAGTGATCACCAAAAGAACCTGTGTGTTTCATATAGGTAGAGAAAGCATGAAAGCCTGCTTTCAACCAGAGTGCAGCTTCAGCTCTGAGAAAACAGTGCATGCATCCAGCAAGGCCACTTTGAGTCTGACAGTCAGGTTTCTTCCTTCTAACTATGTATGGGTCTGAGCATGTTAATTCTCTAGGCCTGTTTTTCTAGAAGAGTAAAACAAGGACATGGCCAGCACTAGCCTCATGAGAGAACCTGTGAAATTTACGTATGGGAGAACTTTGAGTGCAGACTGGGTACTATGGAGTACTCAGTACCTGTCAGCAGTAGCAGAAATCACCACTATTGGTGTGAAAAAAGTTCCGTGCACCAGAATATAGACGAATAATTAAGAAAGACAAAGAAACTCACTCCACCTGAGGAACATGCATCTCTAGTTCTGGGTGACTTTGGACAATCTAATCAAAACAATTCTACCTATCCCTGGAGACAGGATATTGGTGGGTTTTACAGGTTTCACCCAGCATCAGCCAGCCGTTTTTCCTGGAGCGTCTAAACTGCTGCTTTGAATCTTCTCAAGTTTGCTATTTTCTCAACAGGAAACAGAAATGCTCGAACCAGATAGGAGAGAATGCAGTGTCCAGCTACCAAAACAACTACCAGGGCAGGAAACCAGGGAGCAACACACAATCCCGCAGGTGGGTCACTCCAGTGTGCCTCTCCTCACTTGCGTGGTGGCTAACACATCCAGGCAGCTCAGAGAAAGTGTGGTAGTGAGCACTGACAGGCTTCCCTTCTCTTTTTCTCCCTTTACCCTAGCAAGCTGCTGGATGTCACTCCTTTGCCTTTCCCTAGGCCTTTCCTTTCCGGGTATGTATGAGGACACCAGCTCCCTAGCTCCTTTAACCCAACACTCTCTGGGGAACTGAGGGGGATCAGGAAGTCCTTCTGCGGCAGGCAGGTCTGGAAGAGAGAAATGCAGCCAAGCTGAAAGAACAGGCTTCATCAACAAGTTCTAGAAAACGAAAGTGAATTCGGAGCTTCAGCAATCCCTACTGAGCTGCAGCTTCTGAAAGCTGGGAGGGAAAACCGGCTTCTCTTAGGAGGACAGCCCCCCCTGAAACCGGCACCAAATGCAACTGCCTGCTTTCAAAATAAATAAACATATAAAGCAACAGGTTTTTTTCTTTTCTTATCTTTTTTTTTTTTTTTAGTGTTCTCCCCTGAGCCAGGAGCAAGGACTAACTCCATTAACCACACTTCCTCTCCTCCCCCTTCTCCATCTCCACCTTTCATCAGGAAGGATCTAACTTTCATTCTCCATACTACAAACTTCCTTTTTAGGCTAAAACACAAAATAAACAGTCTCCAAGAAATATGCCACGCCTTCTCATCTCTCTTATACTCAAATTTTTGTTTTGTTTTGTTTTTTCAGACAGAGTTTCTCTGTTGTGTGTAGCCCTGCCTGTCCTGGACCTCACTCTGCAGACCGGGCTGGCCTCGAAATGGAATTATTTTTAAAGTGATGCTGCTTGGATTACTTAGAAGGAAGACAGGAGTCCAGACCCCAGCAGGTGAAGGAGTAGGGGTGGTAGCAAGAGTGAGAACAAGACTTTGCAAACAGTGAACACACTAAGATTATTCTGTGATGCCAGAGGCAAGAGTTAAGAGAATAGCTAATCATGAGCTCCTTACAACTGGGGATATGGATCTTTACTGTAATCGGGGTTAGCTATCCCTCAGAGGGATAAGATGAAGCCCCTAAAGAGGCAGAGAGAAAGCAGAGCCAGAAAGGATAACTGGGGAAAAGGCACTCTAGGCAGCAGGATCCTGAGAAGTTCGAGAAGGAAAAAGCCCTCTTTGGGCTCTGGAAAAAGCCAAAACAAAAAAACAAAAAACAAAACAAACCAAAACCAAAACCAGCATACTCTGGAGCCCTGGTTTCAGAAGGAAGTTTATACTTAACTATATACATTATAGGTAAACATCTCATTAGCCAGAGGCCAACGATCACCAGCCCTGGAGCCAGTGAGAATCCATTAAGATACCCCATCAAACCAGGAGCCCCAAGCTTCAAGGAAGCTCTGGTTCTCCTCAGGAGATGGAAGGGGGAAATAGTGTCTGAAATGGGTGAAAAGGCCCTTTCCAGGAATAAGGAACTCCACATCTGACCAAATAAGGCAAGTGAAAGCAAAGGCCAAGGAGGGCCTTCCTCTAGGCAGCCAGCAGGATGGCAGGGACAGGCACCCCACCTCTAGCCTGGTTGGCTGGACTGTGGCTGGAAAGAGAAGACAGTAAGAGCTATAAAGGTGAAAAGAGAGGGCTGAGGAGAAGGCTGGGATATACTGCTTCCACCCCTTGCACGGGCTTGGTCTGGGATCCTTCAGATGGTCCGAGCTGCTATGCACATCCTGTAAAACAGTGCAAACCGGCAGAGTCTGGTACTAGAATTCAAAACTAACTGTTTCCTTTCTCAAATCCCCAAGGACAGATTCCGAGTCCAAAGCTTAGATATGACCTCAGTGTTACATATGAGCCTATATAATCAACTTCCATTTTTCAGAATGAAAACAACTACAAGGCTTATTTCATGGAAGTATTTATTTCACTGTATTTTTTCTTTTTGGTTTCCAAATTAAGTCCAAATTTCATGTTTTAGGAAATCTCCTTATAGAAGAAATGACTCGGTTCTTTAAAATATATATTTCCTCATCCCATATGCCAAAAGTCCTTTATATGTGAGAAAATTTTAAATAAACACCATAGGAAAAGATTGCTATAGCTATAATAAAGGTTGGTTGTAGGAGAGGAAAAAAAAACCCTCTATATTGGGCTTAAGCTTAGATTTTGCCACTGTTTTTCAGAAATGTCACCAGACCAGAGAGTGTGGGCAGACGACAAGAGAAGACAGAAGCACAGACATGGTTGGGAGGAGAACACATTCCACAGATTTTTCCAGAAAACCTAGTGCTGCTTTCCATTTCCTTGAGCCATGTGGGTTTCCAAAAGCAAATCAGCTCACTGGAAAATGAAACAGATGGCAAGAAACCGTCACAGCCCGGAAAAGAAGCTTGTGAAGGGTTAAATGCTCAAAAACCAGTATGTCACCTAAAACAGCATGTCAACTGTGTCAGCCTTCCAGGAGCAGAGTCCTGCCTATCCACTTCCGCTTTATGCAATGTGGCCTCTCACTTACCCTCTAGCATCTTTATGTTTTGGAAGTCTGGAACAAATCCTGCAAGCCGCAGCAATGTAGAGAGGTGCCCAAGGCTGTGTGCATCGTGACCCTGACCCAAGGCAGAAGAAGGTGGAGAGCACAGGCTGGTGAGAGATGAGGATATGATCACTTTTCCTAAATACACTCAGAATTGGGTCAGCTGGCTCACCCTAGACACACCTAGGTGGGGGTGTTCCACACACTAGCAGAAACCCAATCTTTAGGTTGTAAACTAGTCAGCTATTCCTTTGGCATGTTCTAACACTTCACCTGAAAGTTTGTTTGTTTTTGTTGTTGGTGGTGGTTTTTTTTTTTTTTTTGTGGCAGGGGTGGAGGGGCACGACACATGGACACAGATATACTTAAGGTATCCAATTTCTAGGCTCAGAGGTTGGTGTCTGGGGCTAGTTCTGTGATTTCGTGGAGTACATTTGATCTGACTTGACAGTTCAGTACCTGTCAGTGCATTAAGGCCAGAATTAGATCTTCTCAGGCCTGTACATAGCATAAGCTTAGGAGACACTATCAGAAGCAGGAAATGAGCTGAGCACTTTAAAAACCCTAAAGATCTGGTCTCTCAATGACTCTAACCTATGTTTTCTTTATTCCCACCTACTCTCTATCTTACTTTCTAAAAAATACAAAACAAAATGAACAAAATACATCTTCAAAACCCAAGACCCAGGTAGATTTCTTTTAGGCAATAAGAAATAAGAGAAAGGAGGGAAAAATCTGTTAGCAGCTTGTGTCGGCAAGATGACATTTCGAGTCCCCAGGGAGCAGCAGTATGTGTCCCTCCAACAACAGAAAAGCGTTGAAATGAAATGAACGTAGTTCTAGGGCACAATTTCTGGCCTGTAAGACTGAGTTATATCCAGGGCATAAAACAACATGATTCCCCCCACAGTCATTTTTGCATCGCAAATGATTTCTGAGCATTTGACTATTTTTAGCATTTCATACAGTGGAGTCTGCACAAAGCAAAAATAGATGTTTGCTTCATATAAGACTTGTAATGGGGTGGGCGTTGCTTGTTGTCCCAGACTTATTTAATACTAAATTGAGATGGTCCCAATATAGTTTACCACTATCATCTCACATTTTTCTAAAAGAGGCTTATGTAGAACATGGCAAGCCATCTAAACACAAGTACAAGAAGACAACATACACCATGCTTGTCTAGAAGCGCCGCAAGCAAGGATGCCAGGAGTTCTGAATCCTCAAGTGAGCACGGTTCAGGAATGACAACAGCAGCATGGGGATGGGCTTCATCCTCATAAGGGTTCCACCTGGGGCCGGACCATGGGGTCTCTTCTTACTGCAGTTGCTGCCTTTGGCACTGGCCGGCTAACCTGGCTCTAGCTGCAACCACGAAGCACGGTCTAAGGTGGCCAGGCTCTCAGGCTTGCTCGCGTCCCTTCTGAAGTTTCTCAGTAGAATTACATGGAAATGTTGACTACCTGAAACAGGTGGTATGTTCCCTTTCTGAAATGCTGAGTGGGTCGGTCACAGTTAAATCCTATGAGTTACATAATCCAGAGGGAGAGAGTTTAATTCAAGCTGCTCTAGCAGCTAACACAATGCTTGCTTGTTCATGGGAAACAGTGTTTGCTGGTTGGCAGTGGAAACCTTTATTCCCCTTTCCTGAGGATCTACCCTCAAGGACACCACTCTGGGCTTTGCATGTTCAATTCAGCCCCTAAACCTGCCCAGAGAGAGTCTACTATGATGAGATCTCCAATTCCCACTCAAGGAGAAGGAGAACAGAACAGTTGTGTGGAACACAGCTGTGGGGCAGCAGAGTCACAGGCACAAGCTATAACACTGGGGGTCAACTCTCTGGACCTCTTGTAATCTCCCTAGAGCCTCCCAGGAATATTTGCTATCAAGCCATTGATAGGGGAGATTAGATAACTATGCTAATTGGAATAAATGGTTCAGTAGTTCTTATAGAGCTGAACAGTGGAGACCTTGGGGCCCTCCTGTTCCATCACTTTTAAAACAGAAACAAGTGACAGAAAAAAGTTTTAAAAAATACTTGTCAGAACTACTGATTAGTTTTTTTTTCTTCTTTATTTTTATTTAAGTTAGAAACAAGCTTGTTTCACAGTCAATCCCAGCTCCCTCTCCTCTCCCTCCCCTCATCCACTGCTCTCCTCACCAGTCCCCCAGCCCCCTACCCAATCTACACTCCGATCTCCAAGGAGGGTGACACCCTCCATGGTGGATCGCCAGAATACTAACCAGTTTCTTATTTCATCTGATGTTTAACTTTCCTCTTCATCCCAGAATGCTTGTAATGCTAATTCTCTCTATCAGAACAGATATAAATATACTGACTTTAAAAATTAAAGACAATTTAATATTAACTGTCCAATCCCACTAAAACAACTGTATTTTCACATAATCTAGGCATCTCACTCTGAACAGCTAATGATCTTGATTTTATTTGTGGAAATGTGCAGGGGAGTGAAGCTGTTTAAGGAAAGCGAAGAGAGGCAATCCCCCAGAAGGAGTATGCCCAACCTTCTTCCATACATCACTGGGAATTGGTAAAGCACAGTGCGTTACCTAGGAATCACAACTGTGGATTCTCTCCAGTGAAAACTCAAGCACAACACATCTTCTAAGGTGAACCTTCCCACAGCAAAGAAACAAGAGCAGTAACAGACTTCCTGCTTAAAAGAAAGCCACCGAAGAGGGATGCGCTCAAATAATAACTCATCGAAATATCTGTTCTCTAAGCACACCTAGGCAGGCAACCAGCAATTTCATAATTAATGCTCCTATTAGGAGAAATAATTTTCCATGAAGTCAGCTCTGGGTCATTACATAATCCTACCAAGTGCTGGGATTAAAAGTGTGCACCACCACTACCCAGCAAGATGTTATCACTATATAATAATTCCAAAGCTAAAAATTACCTACTTGCATTTTAATTAATTTCCTGCAATGTTCTATGAGCTACATACACATTTCACAGTATTGTCTCATTTAATTATCAAAACAAACATCCTTTAACAAAATTTGAGGCTGCAAGAACTTAAGGATTTTTATAGTATCACATAGCCAGAAACTAACCTATGGCAATCTACCTCCAGCATGTGTCCCAAAGCTACTGTATTGAGTCTGAATATTCAGCACCAGTGATCACAGAGTCACTTGCAGGTTTGACTATATGGAACTAAACATATGTTTCAATAGGCTGAAATTAGTAATATCAAGTGAGCCATTATTTTTTTCCATTGGGTTAAAATTGCAGTTATTTTGACATTTTCATGACACTATAGAACGAAAAGACAGCTTGACCTCTGGAGCACTACTCTTTCTTTTCTGGTTTTTGTTTGTTTTGACTTTTTTATTTAAGTTAGAAAAAAGCTTGTTTCACATGTCAATCCCAGCTCCCTCTCCCTCCCCTCCTCCATCGCCCTCTCCACCAGGCCTCCCAGTCCCCCACCCAATCTCCACTCCAATCCCCAGGGAGGGTGAGGCACTCCATGGTGGATCTCCAGTAACTGTCATTTCATCCAGGGCAGGGCGTGGGCCCTCTCCCAAGAGTCCAGGCAGAGAGCATCTTTTATTGTGGGATGGGCACTCAAAGTCTATTTGTACGCCAGGGATAAATACTACCCAAAGCCCCATAGATTACCTAGGCCTCCTATCAGACACCCACATTCAGAGGGTCTGGGTCAATGCCATGCTTTCCACACAGCCATAAATTTGGGGTCCAAGAGCTCCCCCTTGTTCAGGTCAACTACTTCAGTGGGTTAAACCAGCCCAGTCTTAACTCATTTCTCCCTTTCTGTCACTGAATTCCAGGGGTTCAGTTCAGTGTTTAGCTGTGGGTGTCTACCTCTGTTTCAGTCAGGCTCTGGATGAAGGTTCTGTTTCCCAGACTCTCTGGCAGTGGGATTGTAGGCTGGCACTCCCCAGATTCATGTCTAAAATCCATATATGAGTGAGTACATACAACATTTCTCTTTTTGTGACTGGGTTACTTCACTCAGGATGGTTTCTCCCAGTGCCATCCATTTGCCTGCAAATTTCAAGATTCCATTGTTTTTTTTTCCACTGAATAGTACTTCATTGTGTAAATGTACCACATTTTCTCTATCCACTCTTCAGTTGAGGGACATCTAGGTTGCTTCCAGGTTCTGGCTATTACAAATAATGCTGCTATGAACACAGTGGAACAGACATCCTTGTTGTATGAATGGGCATCTTCTGGGTATATGCCTAGGAGTAGAATGGCTGGGTCTTGTGGTAGACTGATTCCCCTTTTCCTGAGGAATCTCCATACTGATTTCCAAAGTGGCTGTACAAGTTTTCACTCCCACCAGCAATGGACGAATGTTCCCCTTTCTCCACATCCTCTCCAGCATAAACTGTCATTGGAGTTTTTTACTTTAGCCATTCTGACAGGAGGAAGAAGGTATCTCAGAGTTGTTTTGATTTGCATTTCCCTGATGGCTAGGGGATGTTGAGCACTTTCTCAAGTGTCTCTCAACCATTTTAGACTCCTCTACTGAGGATTTTCTATTTAGTTCTGTACCCCACTTTTTGATTGGATCCTTTGGTGTTCTGGATACTTGCTTTTTGAGTTCTTTGTAAATTTTGGAGATCAGCCCTCTGTCAGATGTGGGGTTAGTGAATATCTTTTCCCAACCTGTGGATTGCCTTTTTGTATTGCTGACTATGCCATTTGCCTTACAGAAGCTTGTCAGTTTCAGGAGGTCCCATTTATTAATTGTCGATCTCAGTGTCTGTGCTACTGGAGTTATGTTCAGGAAGCAGTCTCATGTACCAATTTGTTCAAGGGTGCCTCCTACTTTCTCTTCTAACAGGTTCAGTGTGGCTGGATTTATATTAGATCCATTTGGATTTAAGTTTTGTGCATGATGATAGACATATATCTATCTGCAGTCTTCTACATGTCAGCCTCCAGTTATGCCAGCAACATTTGTTGAAGATGCTTTCTTTTTTTCCATTGTATAATTTCACTGTCAAAGATCAGGTGTTCATTCGTGTATGGGTTAATGCTGGAGTGTTCAATTCAATTCCATTGGTCTGTCTATTTTTGTGCCAATACCAAACTGTTTTCAGGACTATAGCTCTGAAATACAGCTTGAAGTCAGGGATGGTGATGCCTCCGGATGTTGCCTTGTTGAACAGGGTTATTTTCGCTATTCTGGGTCTCTTATTTTTCCATACAAAGTTGAGAATTGTTCTTTCAAGGTCTGTGAAGAATTGTGCTGGGATTTTAATGGGGATTGCATTAA